TACCTTAATATATGTTAAAAGCTCTTTCTTTTAATCATCACAGCAAAGTGCACTATCCTCATCTTCATTTTGTAAATGAGGAAACTGAAGCTTAGAGAATTATGTAACTTGCCGAAAGTCACACAGCTAGTAAGTTATGAAGCCAATATTTGAACCTTGCCTGACTGTAAAATTTGTTTTTTTTAAACAATTATGCTGTACTTCCTATTGTAGATAAGAGCTAACGGACTTTAGTGTGGCACTACAGAGTTAGCTAGAATAGTTGGAGAAGACCTCATGATGGCTGAGATTTGACATGAGCCCTGAAGAATAGGTAAGATTTATTTAAGCAAAGGGAAAAAGAACAGAGTTAAGGAGTAAAAGCAAGGAGACAGCATAAGAAGTGCCTCAAAAGAAAAGCCTGGTGCTCTACTTCTGAAAAATCAGTCATTGAAAACCTTACGGAGGACAGTTCTACTCTTAAGTACATGGGGTTGCCATGAATTGGAGTTGACTTGATGGCAACAGGTTTGGTTAAGGCAGAAACATGGTATTTTCAGGAAATTTATAAGGAGATAAACTTGGGATTACCCAACCAACCAAACCCGTTGCCATCGAGTGGATTCAGACTCATAGTGACCCTGTAGGACAGAGTAGAAATGCCCTAGAGTTTCCAAGGAGTGCCTGGTAGATTTGAACTGTCGACCTTTTGGTTAGCAGACATAGCTCATAACCACTGCACCACAAGGTTTCCAAACTTGGGATTAGTGGAAAATAAACCGAAAAAAAGCTAGTTTGGAAGACGGTTCTGAATGTCTACAGAGTTGGTACTTAAATAATGTGAACCTAAATAATTATTAAAATTCTTCACCGGAGAAGAGAGAAACAATGGCAGTTTTGAACAGGGAATAAGATTGATAACATTGATATTTAAGAATACCTAATTTGTGGGCATTGTGTAGAATGCAGTCAGGGAAAGGATGGTTTAGGAATTATGTGGTCTAGGCAAGAATGATGAAGACCTGAATAAACTAGGGTGGATTGCAATGGATACGTGAGGTATTTTAAAGTAGGCTTTGTTGACTACATGACTACACAATGAGTAACGACGGAGAGAAAAGAAGCCAAGATTATCTGCATTTTTAACCTTTAATAGAAATAGGGAGTTGGTTGGGAGGAGGAAGGTAAAATAAGTTTGATTTTAGTTATGTTTAATTTGAAAGTATAGTGAAAAATTTAAGAAGTGTTATTCTGTAGGGAGATGGAGATAAGAGATTACAATTTAAGAGTTTGGAGATAAAGATTTGCATTTACTCAGCATAAGCAAGTTGAAACATAAGATAGTGTCTTAGTCATCTAGTGCTGCTACAACAGAAATACCACAAGTGGATGGTTTTAACGAAGAGAAGTTTATTTCCTCACAATCAAAGTAGGCTAAAAGTCCAAATTCAGGGTGTCAGCTCCAAGGGAAGGCTTTTTCTCTCTGTCGGCCTTCTCTTCAGTGTTCTCCCGGACTAGGAGCTTCTCGGTGCAGGGACCCCAGTCCAAAGGACGCGCTCTGCTCCTAGCACTGCTTTCTTTTTTTTAATGATTTATTTTATTTGTCGTTGTTGAGAATATACACAGCACCACAAACACCAATCCAACAATTTCTCCATGTACAATTAAGTGACATTTATTACATTCTTCAAGTTGTGCAACCATTCTCACCCTCCTTTTTTGAGTTGTTCCTCCTCCATTAACATAAACTCATTGCCCCCTAAGCTTCCTATCTGACCTTTCCAGCTGCTATTGTCAATTTGAAGAACATAATGCTCAAAGTAGACACTCTTCAAAAAGTTAAACTATTGTTTGGTTTGGAGCCCTGATGACACGGTAGTTGAGAGTTCGGCTGCTAACCAAAAGGTCGGTGGCCCAAATCCACCAGCCACTCCTTGGAAACCCAATGGGGCAGTTCCACTTTGTCCTATAGAATTGCTGTAAGTCGGAATCAACTCGATAGCAATGGGTTTAGTTTTTTTGTTTGTCTGGCACTGCTTTCTTGATGGTATGAGGTCCCCCTGTCTCACTGCTCACTTCTGTCTTTTATATCTCAAGATATTGCCTCAGTCAATTGGCATGACACAGCTTATAAAGACAATGCTCTACATTCTACCTTGGTGAGTAGTGTCTGGGGTCTTAAAAGCCTGTGAGCGGCCACCTAAGATACTCCACTGGTCTCATCCCTTCGGGAGCAAGGGAGAATGAAGAGAACAGGATACAAGGAAAAGATTAGTCCGAAGGACTAACGGTCCACAGCTACCAAGGCCTCCACCAGACTGAGTCCAGTACAGCTAGATGGTGCCCGGCTACCACCACTGACTGCTGTGACCAGGATCACAACAGAGGGTTCTGGACAGACCTGGAGAAAGATGTAGAACATAATTCTAACTCACAAAAAAAAGACCAGATTTACTGGCGTAAAGGAGACTGGAGAAACCCTGAGAGTATGGCCCCCAGACACCCTTTTAGCTCAGTGGTGAAGTCATTTCCGAGGTTCACCGTTCAGCCTGGGAGTGGACAGCCCCGTAAAACCAAATGAGACTAATGCGGTACAGTAGTCCAGTGACAAGGGCCAGAAGGCAGAAGGGGACAAGGAAGCTGGTGATAGGGAACACAAGGTTGAGTAAGGATATTGTTGATGTGTTGTGAGATTGTTAACCATTGTCATAGGGCAACATTTGTAGTAACTGTTAAATGTGAAACTATTTTGTTCTGTAAGCCTTCATCTTAAGTGAGAATAACAGCACAATTGGAAGAGCGTAGTCAATGTCACTGAACTGTGCCTGTAGAAATTTTTGAAATGGTTTATCTTTGGCTATGTGTATTTTCACCAAAAAAAAAAAGGTTGAGAAGTTAGAGGGTTGACATGTTGTGGGGTTGTTAACCAACGTCATAAAACAATACGTGTACTACTGTTTCCTGAGAAACTATTTGTTCTGTAAGCCTTCACCTGAAGAACAATTAAACAAAAAAAAAAGAGATTGCCTCAGGACACAATCCAGTCTTGTAGATCAGATCCTGCCTTACTAACATAACTGCCACCCATCCTCCCTCATTAACATCATAGAGGCAGGATTTACAACACATAGAGAAATCACACAGTACCAGGAATCATGGCCCAGCCAAACTGATATACACATTTTTGGGGGGACATAATTCAAACCATGACAGATAGTATCAGTTCACCAGGAGAAAATGCATATATACAGAGAGGAAAATACTGATCAGTACCCATGGTTTGGGTATGAGTGGAGGAAGACAAGCCAGCAAAGGAGAGAGTAAGCAATCATCATAGTTAGAAATTTTTTCCTTGTAAGTGCTCATCTCTGAACCTTCACTCTATAACTCCAAGACACTTTTGAGTGTATTTTCTTGCCTGTTCATACCTCATTCCAAACCCATTGCTGTTGAGTTGATTCCAACTCATGGCGACCCTATAGGACAGAGTAGAACTGATGCATAGGGTTTCCAAGGAGCAGCTGGTGGATTCAAACCGCTGACCTTTTTGTTAGCAGCCAAGCTTTTAACCACTGTGCCATCAGGGCTCCGCTATAATCATGTTTTTGTGCCTTTTCAAAATTGTGGCTAATTCTTAATTGGATACTAAGATATTTTCAAAGCCCTGAAGTTCAAAGCTACATCTAACTTAAATAGCTTGTCAGGAGAATAAATCTTCTAGTGCTTCTTACTGGATTTTAAATCACTCGACTGGACTCAGCCTCTAAAAATATCTGAACACTAACGTGAATTTTATACTGAAGCTTGATTTAATTGTGAATATTTTCTAACTGAATAATACAATAAAACTTAGGGATGTTAAAGGGGAAGTGGGAGGAAGAAAGTTCGGAAAGACTGGGGAGAGAAAACAAATGTTCTTTTAAATCATTGCTCGTGAAAGATGATATTAATACAAAATATTTGTTGCATATTAGAACTATAAAGTGCAGCCTCTGCTGAAGCTAAGGCAGCTGGAATTGATATAAAGGAAAAATTGATCTCTCTTGTACTCATTCCTCTGAAATGGCTGCCTTTTTTTCTTTTTCTTTTTGTAAAAACAGACATATCTAATAAAGTGCCTAGAATCTAAGCGCCTTAGATAGCACAATGAAATGATTTTTTAAAAATTATGTCTAATTGTAACCTCTCAACTTTTTCAGAGGAGATGCGAAAACAAGGCTTACTTCAATGGCTTGATTCTCTTCAGATTAATAACACCGCCTCTCCAGAACTGCAGCTCACCATGGGAGCCGTGATTGTGGAGGAAATGAGAGCAGCCATAGAGAGGCAGACGGGTTTTCAATGTTCAGCTGGAATTTCACACAATAAGGTGAAGACTAGGAGTAGATTTCAAAGAGAAGCATGGACGTCTTTAGTTAGTAAATATAGCAAGGATATGGATGGGACATTTACGTCATTATTCATATAATTTGAAATGGATTTGTATTTAAAATTCATGTTGAGGTCCAAATAAGGCCTAATTAATCCTTTAACATGGGAGTCAACATTAAACATATACTTATGCCTAAGAAGCAGGCTGGAAATTTTGTAGAAACCGCTTATTTATATAGTTGCATCCAAAATATTTCCTTAATGACTGAACTATCCATAGAAAGGAGGAGGCTAGTCTTTGAACTTTTATATACAGCGAAACCTGTGAGAGCCGGAACTCGATGGGACTGCCTTGTTTTTCCAGGTCTCCCAAGTTTTCTGCCTTTGATAGGGTGCAGTCTTACCACTTTTTTTTCGCTTGTTTTAGTGGAAAACATTTGAGTGCCCCTTATCTGACAGGTTTCTGCCTTACACATGTTCTGGCTTTTGCAGGTTTTACTATATACACCTATTTCTTTTATTTTACTTTTATTTTCTTATGTGGAGTTGTCTGTTTTATGCTTTTGCCTATTCCCCCTTTTCTAATAGAAGCAGTAAGAGAAATGGAATAGTAAAATCTTATTAACTTGGACCACTGTTTTGATTTTGGGAATACAGACAACTCAGTAATCCAGGGGCAGAATAACTGGTTTTCTGATTAAGTATGAATAAACTGTAATGAAGGTCTGGGGTCTTCATCCCTTTCTGACCAGGCTCAATAATTGAGCAGTGCTTGATTATCCCTGATTGCTGCCTTCTCCCAGTAAGTTGCCAACCTTGCCTGCATTTTTTTTTTTTTTCCCTGGTTGGGTGGGAGAGGGGAAACAAAAATTCCAACATAAACCAGACTAAATGGGCCTAGTAGAAATTTCTGGAGAATCTAATGAATTTAAAGAATGCTTTTATACTTTGCCTATCAATTATAATTTGTGAAATGATACCGCTGAAGTGTCTTCTTCTTTGAGTTCTAAAGGATTTAACTTTCTTTTCATTGTGAAGTCTTGTTACACTGTATAAAAAGTGTTTGCTATTAGAGGATGATTGTGAGCCCAATCTCTATCACAGATTCTAAATTATGATAATCTATATAAAATTCAGGACTCAAATAGACTGAGCATTAAAGACATGTAAATAATTATTGTAGGGTAAAACAAGTTTGTTTTCAGTATTTTCATATGAACACACTGAGAAATGCATCTTACTTGAGCTTCTTCTGCAGCTTCTCTGCTTTTTAAACCTCTTGAAGTGGAAGGACCTCCAGGAAAAGATAGGGAGGAAAAAAGATGAAAGGAAAACTGACTGTGGAAGAGATGTGGGAAGAACAATGAAAATAATGATAATGGGTCGTATTTTCCACTGAGGATGTGCGGTACCAAGGTTTAGAGATGTCTTGAATTCCTGGTTGTGGTTTTGTTTTCAATGTGGAAACCATTAGCTACTCTTAACCTATGCGTATGTATGTGTGTGTTTTAATATTCACTAACCCTCTGTGTGAGTGGGGTTGACAGTAATGAGGTTTTTATACTTTCCATGCTCCAGGTCCTGGCAAAACTGGCCTGTGGACTAAACAAACCCAACCACCAGACCCTGGTCTCACATGGTTCAGTCCCACAGCTCTTCAGCCAAATGCCTATTGGCAAAATGTAAGTATTCAGAGAGCACCTTAAATTTCATTTACACCCATGTGAAGGCACTCTCTGGTTATAGTTTGTTCCTTAGGAAGGATTGACACCGGGGCAAATAGGTACCAGGGCTACTGAATTTCTCCCATACTAGGCATGAGAAAAGAAGCCAAATCAAATGAATACCATAACCAGGTTGACCCTATGAATTGTGGCCTTGACAAGGGCTTATATTATTGAAGAGACAAGACGTAACAGTTTGAGGTAACAATGAAAATGCCATTACAAGACTGCACATGAATAATTGCTAAATAAATTGTGCAGGCACTTCCCAAAGTTTGTAAAACAAGAAGAGTAATCTGAGAAGGATTTATGAAAAGGGCATGGGGTTTTATTTTGAGGTTTGGCAGAATTTGGAGAGTCAGATGAGAGTAAGAAAGCAATACTGGTTTAGAAAATGTTTTGAGCACAAAGGAGAAAGTACAAGATGTTTCCAGTGAACTGGAACATAAAGCAGTTTGTTGTTGTTGGTCGCCTTTGAGTCAGCTCCGACCGATGGTGGCCCCATGTACAATAGAACAAAAGGTTGCCTGGTCATCTTCATGATCATTGGTATGCTCGAGTCCATTGTTGTGGCCACTGTATGTTTTGAGTGCCTTCCAACTTAGGGGGTTCATCCTCCAGCAGTATATCGGATAATATTCTATTGTGATCCGTAGGGTTTTCATTGGCTAATTTTCAGAGGTAGATTGCCAGGCCTTTCTTCCTAGTCTGTCTTAGCCTGGAAGTGCTGCAGAAACCTGGGTGGTCATAGGTGATCCTGCTGGTATATGAAATACTGGTGACATAGTTTCCAGCATCAGAGCAACACATAAGCCACTATAGTATGCAATCTAACAGATGGGTGGTGGTAAATCAGTTTAGCTAGAGAAGAAGTAACTGGAAGTAGGACTGAAAAGATAGGTTGTGGAAGGACAGATTATAGAGGGCCTTGAAGGCCAGGCTAAAGAATCTTGACCATATTCTTAACTATAGAAGGTTTTAGTCAAGGGATTTGTTTTGGGGTTGGAATTTTAATCCCCAAATGGGACAGTAGAACCTGTACAATTAAAAATTTTGTATATAGTTGACTTGGTAGCTAATTGGTGACATTTTGTTTATACTACTGTTAAGCTTCTTCCTAGGTCCTAACTCCCAGAATATCACTGAATTCCCAGAATCACTTAGACTTACGCTGGCAAATTAAGACCAATACTCTTAATTTTCCCTGAACCGTTTGCAGACCTAGTTACAGAAGCAGAATGCCTTATTCTAACCAGATATTTATGATATGACCTATATATTATTTGTCTCCTTTTTTTATCAGCCGTAATCTCGGAGGAAAGCTAGGGGCCTCTGTCATTGAAATCCTGGGGATAGAATATATGGGTGAACTGACCCAGTTCACTGAATCCCAGCTCCAGAGTCATTTTGGGGAGAAGAATGGGTAAGTGATTCATGTTTTCAAACATAATGTTTAAGTTATGGAATTCAGATATAGACAAAAGTGTCTAGTAAAACAATCCTTCCATTAATATTTGTTTCTTTGGGGAATTTCATTGGTCCATCTTAACTTTAAAATACTAGGTCACTACGGCCTACCTATCATTCTAGAGTAGTTTTTCCATGTACCTGGGTGGGTTGATAGCTAGAAATTGTTACTTTAAAACCTGGATATATAGACGATCCTCATTATTCATGGATTCTGTTTTTGTGCATTTGCCTACTTGGTAACATTTATTTGTAACCCCAAAATCAATACTCATGGTGCTGTCATGGTCGTTCATAGACATGCGCAATGTCGCCCAAAACCCATGTTCCCAGCTCTGCCTTCTTGTTTCAGCTCTCATACTGGAAACAAGTGTCTTTTTCACAGTTTTCCACATTATTTTTTGCTTTTTGTTGGTGATTTTGCTGTTTAAAATGGACAAGTATAGTGCTGAAGTGTTCCTAAGCCCAAGAAGGCTGTGATGTGCCTTACATTAGATAAGCTTTGTTCAAGCGTGAGTTATAGTGCTGTCGGCCATGAATTCAATGTTAATGAATAAACAAAAATAAGGCGTCCTTAAACAGAAACACACGTAAAACAGGGTTATATATTGGTCAGTTGACAAAATGTTGTGACCAGAAGCTAACAGGAATCTAACCTTGTGTTTGCCTAGAAGCCTCCCCCACCATGCCATTGAGTCGATTCTGATTCTGACTCATAGCAACCCTATAGGACAGAGGAGAACTGCCCCATAGGGTCTCCAAGGAATGGTTGGTGGATTCGAACTGTTGACCTTTTGGTTAGCAGCCGAGCTCTTAACCACTGTGCTACTAGAAGCAGTGGTTCATATTCACTAATTGTTTGTATTGACTTTATAGAACATAACTACCACAAATAATGAGAACTGACTGTACTATTACATCATTTATATGTGCTAAGATGTTCCTTAATATCTTGTGTTTACCAGAAAACAAACCCGTTGCTGTTAATTCTGACTCATAGTGACCCTATAGGACAGAGTAGAACCGTCCTATAGGGTTTCCAAGGCTGTAAATCTTTATGGAAGCAGACTCCCACATCTTTCTCCCATAGAGCGGCTGGTGGGTTTCAACTGCTGACCTTTTTTTGGTTAGCAGCCGAGCGCTTTAACCACTGACCACCAGGGCTCCTTATCTTTGTGTTCAGGCCTTAACAAAGCACAAAAAAACCTTGGAGATATGAATCTGTGGCTTGCTTGGCACTTTTCCATAGCAAAAATACAAATGATGACTTGGCTGTAGGAAGCCAATTATTATATGGCACTGAAATTCAATGCGAGGGGCAGGGATTCAGTGTCAGAGGTCAGGTACACCTCATTTCAGACAAATTTTTCCTTTTTTATGAGAGGAATAAAAGGGTAATATATTTTAACAAGAATAACCATTTACTTTCACCTCAGTGTTTTTTGCTGGTTTTATTAGGTCTTGGCTATATGCCATGTGCCGAGGGATTGAACATGATCCAGTTAGACCCAGGCAAATACCCAAAACCATTGGCTGTGGCAAGAACTTCCCAGGAAAAATGGCCCTGGCTACTCGGGAACAGGTAGGCAGAAAACTGCCTCTTTTATGGGGGTTAGTGGGTAGGTGTTGATAGCTGTGTAGGGTTTAATAGGTTAGATGGGAACTTTATGCTGGAAATGTAAAGTATGAAAGGAATAGAAGTTCCTTTCTTATACTGAAAATTGGCTTGTTTAACTTGTGATTTATTACCTCCTCCCCACTCCCTGGCTTCCACCTAAAAAGAAATAAAATGGAACTGACTAAAATTCAAACTAGAATTCAATTTTTTTGGTAGGTGGAAACTTATTGTGCCTCAGGTTTGTGTCTTTTCTTTTTTCTAAGATCTCGAGCATGCCTGAAATTCACCTCCTGGTATGCCAGCAGGAAAAGAAACTCTTTAGTTAGGGCAGGTCAGAGTACTGAGAAGATTTCTATTGTCCGGTGATCCCTTGGTTATAGGGGAGTCTTTGGTGTACACGTTCATCTGGGGGAGACCTGAACAAATCCAGCAACTAGTTCTATAACAGACCTAGAGTTTTAAATGAAAGATTAAAATCTTAACACCACTTTTTAGGTACAATGGTGGCTTTTGCAATTAGCCCAGGAACTAGAGGAGAGACTGACCAAGGACCGAAATTACGTAAGATTTTCTTTCTTTATTCTTGGAGTGGGCTTTGGGATTTAAACAGCAGTTGTTGGTTTTTTGTTTTGTTTTGTTTTGTTTTTTACTTTATGGAATAGGAATAAAGATACAAAAAAGTATCACCCTAGGAAATTTTTAAAAATCTTTTATCTTTTTCCAACATAGACCCATGAAACTCAGCATGATTTTTTAAAGCCTGGACCTGTGAACATAAGAGCTAAGTCTAGCTCCATCTCCTACATTACCATTTTGGATCTATCTTTTTTATCTAACTCTGACTGCAACTGTGAATATATAGTGGTCCTTCATCAACTTTTGACTCAGAGTATATAGCCATTAAGCAGGATATTTAGGATTGGACTGTAAATTATTGGACTTTATAGTCCGTGTAACACAAGAATAGTGGTAGTTTTCAGAGATCGAGTATTAAGTCATAGATTTGATAACTGAAGTGCTTAATTTCTTTATCCTTTCCATATATATTTATATATATATATTCCATATATATAAAGGTTCATGCATGTTGTGTCTTTTCTTTATTGTGGTAAGATATATATAACATAAAACTTGCTATTTTAACCATTTTTAAGTATACAATTCAGTGGCATTAATTACATTCACTGTGTTGTGTAACCATCTCCACTATTTCCAAAACTTTGTCATCATCCCAAACAGAAACTCTGTACCCATTAAATAATAACTTCACATTCCATCCCCTACCGCCCTTGGCCCTGGTACCTTTCTATGAATTTGCCTATTCTAGATATTTCATATAAGTGGAATCATATGTGTCCTTTTGTGTCTGGCATATTAGCATGTTTTTAAGGTTCATTCATGTTATAGCATGTATCAGAACTTCCTTTTTATGGCTGAATAATATTCTATTGTATGGATATACCACATTTTGTTTATCTATTCATCTCTTGATGGACACTTGGCTATTGTGAATAATGCTGCAGTGAACACTGGCGTGCAAGGATCTGTTTGAGTCCTTGTTTTCCATATACCTGGGAGTGCAACTGCTGGGTCATATGGTAATTCTATATCTTTTTGAGGATCCACCAGATTGTTTTCTACAGCAGCTGCTCCATTTTACATTCCCACCAGCAATGTATGAGGGTTCCAGTTTCTCCACATCTTTTTCAACACTTGTAATTTCCCTTTTTAAAAAATTTTTTTTTATTATAGCCATCCTTGTAGTTACAAAGTGGTATCTCATTATGGTTTTGCTCTTTAAAAAAAAAAAAAACAGCTTTATTAATACACATTTCACATACTATGAAATTCACCTATTTAAAGTTCAGTGGTTTCTAGTATATTCCAGAGTTGTACAGCCATCACCACAATCAATTTTAGAACATTTTTATCACCCCAAAAAGAAGCCCTGTAACTAATATCAGTCACTTCCCATTTCTCCACTCTCCACCCCCTAGCCCTAGGCAACCACTAGTCTACTTTCTGTCTCAATAGATCTGCCTATTCTGGATATTTCATATAAATGGAATAACACAGTATGTGGTCTTTTTGTGACTAGGTCTTTGACTTAGCAAAGATTCATGCATGTTGTATGTATCACTACTTCATTCCTTTTTATGCCTGAATAATATTCCATTGTATGGATATATCCATTTGTTTATCCATTCATCAGTAGATGGACATTTGCGTTGTTTCCATTTTTTAGCTGTTATAAATGCTATTATGAACATTCATGTACAAGTTTTGTAGTAGACATGTTTTCATTTCTCTTGGCTACATACCTAGGAGTAGAATTGCTGGGTTATGTGGTAACTCTTATGTTTAGCATTTTGAGGAAATGCCAAACTGTTTTTCCAAAGTAGCTGCACCATTTACAATCCCACTAACAGTGTATGAGGGTTCCAGTTTTTCCACATCTTCACCAACACTTGTTATTCTGTCTTTTTTATTTAGTCCTGCTAGTGGAGTCCCTGGGTGGTGCAAAACGGTTAATGCACTCAGCTGCTAACTGAAAGATTGAAGGTGTGAGTCCACCTAGAGGCACCTCGGAAGCAAGTCCTGGCGATCTCCTCCCTAAAAATCAGCCATTGAAAACCCTGTGGAACACAGTTCTACTCTGCACACATGGGGTCACCACGAGTTGGAACTGACTCAGAGGCAGCTGGTTACTGGTAAACCAAACAAAACCCACTCCGTCGAGTCAATTCCTACTCATAGTGACCCTGTAGGACAGAGTAGAACTACCCACACAGGGTTTCCAAGGCTGTGTTTACAGAAGCAGACTGCCACATCTTTCTCCCACAGAGTGGCTGGTGGTTTTGAACTGCTAACCTTTTGGTTAGCAGCTGAGTGCTTTAACCACCGTGCCACCAGGGCTCCTTTGGTTACTGATCCAAACCAAACCCAGTGCCGTCAAGTCTATTCCGACTCATAGTCACCCTGTAGGACAGAGCAGAACTGCCACATAGGGTTTCCAAGGAGTAGCTGGTGGATTCAAACTGCCAGCCACCAGGACTCCTTGTTACTGGTTGTGAGTGTTAAATGGTATCTCATTGTGGTTTGGATTTGCATCCTGATGGTGGATGATGTTGAACATCTTTTCATGTGCCTATGGCCATTTGTATATTTTCTTTGGAGAAAGGTATACTGAGATCCCTTGTCCATTTTTAAAATTAGGCTACTATTTATTATTGAGTTGTAAGAGTTCTTTATATATTCTGGATACAGGTCCCTTGTCAGATGTCTGATTTGCCAATATGTAGGTAGTTTTTTCACTTTCTTAATGGTATTGTTTGATATATTCTGTCTTTTTGAAATATCTGGAAATCCTACAAGTCAACTGTATACTGTCTGGAAAGAATCTAAAACTACCTGTTTGCTCTTGTTAGCTGGAATTTGTGGTGAATGTTCTGCTAGGCAAGTGGGATATGATTCCAATTATTATCAGCCTATTTGACTTTGCCACTAGGTGTCTCCTCTCCCTTTCTTATAAGCCACCTGGAGAACTTTTCTTGCCAGTTTGTATCCAGTGCAGCACAGTGGCAGATCCCTGAATATTTATCTAACTTTAAGCTTTAAAGGACTTTCTGTCAAAAAGAAATTTGGACATAGCAGATCCTGTCACTTTATTATTTAAAACATTCCAGTGACTTCCCTTTCACACTTAATCCATGTTAAGGATTTATTTTGTCTTTTATTCTACAAAGCCCAATATGATCTGATCTCTGGCTACTTCTGACTTCATCTCCTATCCTCTCCCCCTCACTCACTCCACTCTAGCCATTTGGACCTCTTTCCCTTTTTTTCTAACACACCAAGGAAGCTTCTACCTCAACACCTTTGCACTTATTATTCCTTCAGCCTGGAAAATCTCTGCTTATATATTCCTAACATTTGCTCCCTCACTTTATTCAGTTCTCTGCATACATTTCAGCTCCTCCAAGAAGCCTTCCCCAACCACCCTATCAACATCAGCAGCCTCCATCATTCTCTGCCTTACTCTGCTTTATTGTTTTCATAGCACTTCTCTTTGTCACTTCTACTCCATGTCTACTTGCTTATTATCTTTAGCCCCCACTATCACATTAAGACCCATCACAGCCTGGACTTTATTTTGTTCTCTCCTGGATTTCTAGTGCCTGGACAGCTCCTGGTACATAGCAGGCATTTGGTTATAGTTTAATGTTTTTAGTTGGCAAAGATTCCTTTGTAATTGCCAATTTGTGTTCTCTCAACTTATACAAATCTGTACAAACGTATACTCATTCAATCTCCATACCCTGCTTTGTATCTGTTTACCCCCAAGATTGTTGCTGCTCTCCTCTCCCCTGCCTTAAGGCTATTTCTTCTTACTAGCATCTTTTGATTTTGAGGGAATCCCTATGTAGTTTTTTTTTTTTTGTAATTCTTTTTTTTTTATATTTTATTGTACTTCAGGTGAAGGCTTACAGAACAAATAGTTTCTCATGAAACAGTAGTACACATGTTGTTTTATGACATTGGTTAACAACCCCACAACATATTAACCCTCTAACTTCTCAACCTTTTTTTTTGGTGAAACTACGCATAGCCAAAGATACACCGTTTCAAAAATTTCTACATGCACAGTTCAGTGACATTGACAATGCTCTTCCAATTGTGCTGTTATTCTCACTTAAGGTGAAGGCTTACAGAACAAAATAGTTTCTCATTTAACAGTTACTACAAATGTTGCCCTATGACAATGGTTAACAATCTCACAACACATCAACAATATCCTTACTCAACCTTGGGTTCCCTATCACCAGCTTCCTTGTCCCCTTCTGCCTTCTGGCCCTTGTCACTGGACTCCTGTACCTCGTTAGTCTCATTTGGTTTTACGGGTCTGTCCACTCCCAGGCTAAACAGTGAACGTCGGAGGTGGCTTCACCACTGAGCTAAAAGGGTGTCTGGGGGCCGTACTCTCGAGGTTTCTTCAGTCTCCTTTAGGCCAGTAAATCTGGTCTTTTTTTTTGTGAGTTAGAATTATGCTCTACATCCTTCTCCAGCTCTGTCCAGAACCCTCTGTTGTGATCCTGGTCAGAGCAGTCCCTATGTAGACTTTTCACATTATTTCTGCCTCTTTATTTCTCAGTTTGCTGGGAATCACAGTATTCACATGCCTAGAGTTTACTGAAAAGTGAATCACTGATCTTGTTCTCTAGAGGCAGACTCACTACACTGTATCTTCTATAAACGGGTGGTAAGGGGGTGCTACTGGAAAATTTTATTCTTATTAAGCGTAAGAGCATCATAGAACAAAAAAAGAAAAGATTATAGAATAAATCTACTGATAGTTTCTGAATCTTGACATCCTACCTTGGATCTTCCTTTCAGACAATTACTTAAAAACACTTCCTTCAGTCACAAAATAGAATATAGTATTGTAGGTATCTGTTATAGTCTTCTCACTTATACACCACAAAAAAACATACAGGAGAGTCCCATTTTCAATTATTCTGTCCTGTTCCCATCAATTGTCAAAATATCCTAGATATCCTAATACTCCATCACCCACATTATATCTTCTCCAATTACTTTTTACACCCAGAAATAGCACAAAAATTTTGTGGAATCATGTAATCAGATTTATTTAAAAAAAAAAAAAGTCTATAGTATAGAATCTATACTATTAGTATATAAGGTATATGAAGGCAGAAGGGTACATCCCTCACAGTAACCTAATCTAGTGTCTTATGCATAATAGGTACTCAGTATGTATTTGTAATTTATATGAATAAATGCTAGAATAAACAGCTTCCCTCTTGACTTTTAAACTTACTGTTTCAAACCATTCTATCACCCTGGTTCTTTTCATTTCCTTTCATGCAGTTCAGCATATAAAATCCAGATGCTCATGTTAACTTTAGTTCTGATCTCAATCCTTTTCCACCCACAGAATGACAGGGTAGCCACCCAGTTGACTGTGAGCATTCGTGTACAAGGAGACAGACGTCTCAGCAGCCTGCGCCGCTGTTGTGCCCTTACTCACTATGATGCTCACAAGATGAGCCATGATGCATTTGCTGTCATCAGGAACTATAATGCTTCTGGAATACAAACTGAATGGTGAGTTCTCTTCTAGCTTGCCTTCTCGGAAGAGACTTATACCCCATCTTAGCTCTAAAATTAGTAGGTGTCTGAGCTCTTCCAGCTGGGGTTAGCTCTTTGTGACTCTGGCTAGCAACACCTGTTGCACAGGGGAATTGGTCATTTACTAAGGGAAAAACACAGTTGCAAGTCTAGAAACAAGGCAGCTCAGCTGCAACTTTCTTGCCTGACATTTGGTGCATTCCAGTTCCCAGGGCTAGGTTAGAAGGCAGAGTTAACCAAGACTACTCCTGCCTATATCAGCCTGCTATAGTTAGAGGAATGGCCCCTTGCACTTGGAGTACAGCACTCAAGAATATACTTGGGAACTTGTCTCAACTACTTGATTGTCCTGTTTTAAAACCATCTTGATAATCTCTAACATCCCAACACTGTTATAAGCTCCACTGGTGTTATACAAATGTCATATTCATTAATAAATTCTGCTTCAATTGCTTACGACATATAATCAAATATATGAAAAAGTCTCTTTTTGGAGTGTGTTCATTTACTCTGCAGGTATTAATGATTTTCACAACTGGAATCCTTTGCTTATCTAACATAGCCTATTAAATTGAAAAAGGAACCCTGGTAGCATAATGGTTAAATGCTCAGCTACTAAGAAGGTCAGCAGTTCGAACCCACCAGCGGCTTCACAGGAGAAAAGACCTGGTGATCTGTTTCCATAAAGATCACAACCTAGGAAACTCTATGGGGCAGTTCTACTCTGTCATACAGGGTCGCTAGGAGTCAGAATTGATTCAATGGCACACAACACCACCACTAAACTGAAAAGATCTATATTGAATGTTATCAAAATTAAAGTTTAGTTAACCACCTAAATTATTGCTTATATAAATTTATTGGCACTACTATTATATGTACAAACCTCTACAATATGATAGGGTCTCTGAAGTTTTAGAGTCTCTGTTCTCTATTTAGAATAATTTACTTAACTTTTACTTTCCACTGTATCTTTCAGATATTAAAAAGTGATAACTGTAATACTGTGTTCATATGAAGGCTTATTTGAAAACTTACTAATGACTGTCTAGAATACTACTCACCAAAAGCATGAAATTTATTGACAAGGAAGCACCAAAATTACCTGCTTTAAGACTGTCCTAAGGCATGAACCCTAAGGATAGTGAGACAGTCATAATTTTAAAATAGCATTTACTATTCCCCTCATTGAAGGACTAATCTGTATACAGAAGCACGTTTTCTCTTCCGAAATTCAGCTCATGTGAAAATTTATTTGGGTAATTGACATAATCAGGAACTTTGACAGCAGTTTCTTGAAATGGTTCTGAGACACTAGCATGGGTAACCAAAAGCAGTTGTAGAATTTTATTCTCTACAAATTCCAGAGTAGAAAATCTGTCAGGGATTGGTTAGGTAGTGCCCTGTTTTTAAACGGGCATGAGTAAAAAGATTTTCAAGAGTCTTTCCAGTCTAAATATTCTAAAGCTTCTCTGTTGCCTTGAATGAAGATGTTTGGCTCCCAACCTCAACTGTAGCAGCTCTATAGCACTAACTTATAAAAAAAATAATACCCAGCTGTCAGGGGATCCATATTACTTGAGGTAGGTGTTCACTAAGTCAGTGATTCTCAAAGTTGCAATACCAGACTATCAGCATTACCTAAGAACTTGTTACACAAATTCTCTGCCCACCCCAGATCTACTCAATCTGTTAGCAATTAGATACACATTAAAGTTTGAGAACCACTGTAGTACATAACAGTTTCCTCTTGTGGAAGAACCCGAATCTCAATCATTTACAAATTGAAATCTGTCCTAAACTCTGAAATAGTGACCTGTTGCTAATCTTCTTGTTCCTTTACTTTCTGTACAGGTCTCCTCCCCTCACAATGCTTTTCCTCTGTGCTACCAAATTCTCTGCCTCTGCCCCTTCATCTTGCACAGACATCACCATCTTCTTGAGCAGTGACCCAAGTTCTCTGCCAAAGGTGCCAGTTACCAGTTCAGAAGCTAAGACCCAGGGAAGTGGCCCATCAGTGACACCCACCAAGAAAGCAACCAGTTCTCTGGAATCATTCTTCCAAAAAGCTGCAGAAAAGCAGAAAGTCAAAGAAGCTTCACTTTCATCTTTTATTGCCACTACCCAGGCCCCCATGGCCAAGTCACCATCCAAACCCTCACTGCCTTTCCAAGCCAGTCATACTAAAGGAATTCAGCCCTTCTTTAAGCAGAAAAGTCTGGAAGCCCTAAAGCAGAAACAGCTTAATAATCCTTCAGTTTCCTTTCCTCCACAAAATCCATGGTCCAACCCTAAAGGGCTACCAGACCATTTTCCGACAGGGAATCCAGATTGTGCCCACGCTTGTGAAGAGGTGTTGAAACCAGAATCCTCTAAAGCTACTCCTGCAGTGATGGCTTTGGCCCAGAGCAGCTCAAGCAGGCTTGCTTCTTTATCCTCCAAGTCTGCTTTGGATGTGGCTCAAAAGGCAGCTACTACTCCAAGTCTTCTGGATGCTGAAGACCAAGTGTCCTGTGAGAAGTGTGGCTCCCTGGTACCAGTGTGGGAGATGCCAGAACATACAGACTATCATTTTGCATTGGAGTTGCAGAAATCCTTTTTGCAGCCCCTCTCTCCAAAGCCCCACGTTGTTCCTGCCATTTCTCCTCAAGGCAAAAGAAATCCTAAGAGCCCTTTGGCCTCCAGTAACAAACGGCCTAGGCCTGAGGGCATGCAGACACTGGAATCATTTTTTAAACCATTAACACACTAGTGTAGCCCTCAAGCCTGCTACAAGGTGTTAACATTTTATCTGTAACCTGGAAGATGGAAATATGTTCACTTTTCAAGGAAATCTATAACTTTATGAAGTTTTTAATAAGAAAAATAATCCAGTTAGGTGCTGTGTTAAGGCTCCCATCTCTTCACAGGCATGGATTCTAATCCCATCGCCAATAGAGATATAAAAATTCATCTTCCAGAGATACTACTTTGAATTTTTAATCTTTCGAGTTTAGGAAGGCAGTGTCATAGTAAAAAGTGTGTGGGACCGGGAGCCTGAGACACATGGTTCTATACCTCACTCTGCCTCTGAATATGGCCTTGAGCAGGTCACTTTGCTCATCTGTAAAATTGAGTATACTTTATAGATTATGGAAGATTAGAAATAATGTAAAGTGCCTAGCTTAAAGATGGCATAGAGAAGGAACGAGGTAAAAAAAAAAAAAATTTTTTTTTTAAAGTTTCTCATCAGCTGTATTACAGGAGCAGTTCAGATAATACTTTGACGCAAACTCCATATTTTCAGTTGGAGAATGGGAGGGAGTGATAGGTAAGTAGTTTAGGGCAGGGCTCCGTACACAAAAGCTACTCAAATACTGAATTTCATGCAAGTAAACCCTATTATAAAGGGGCCTTGGTGGTACAATGGTTAAGTGTTGGGCTGCTAACTGAAAGGTTGGCAATTTGAACCCAGCGACTCCGAGAAAAAAGACCTGGCGATCGATCTGCTTCCGTGAAGATTGTTGTTGTTAGGTGACACTGAGTCAATTTTCAACTCATAGCTACCCCATGTGACAGAGAAGAACTGCCCCATAGGGTTTCCTAGGCTGTAATCTTTACAGGAGCAAACTGCCAGGTCTTTTCTCCCATGGAACCGCTAGGTAGGTTTGAACACCACCTTTCAGTTAGCAGTCGAGCGCTTAACCGTTGTGCTACCAGGGCTCCTTCAGTAAAGATTACAGCCAAGAAAACCCTATAGGACAGTTCTGCTCTGTCACATAGGGTCTCTATGAGTGGAAAACTGACTCAACAGCACCTAACAACAAACCCTATTATGGCTACAGTCTTAGCTGTTGGCCCTTCTGTCTCTTGTATTTTATTCTAATGTAGAATGAGATTGCCATTGAACCAGTTCAGAAACTGTTTTGATTGGGTAAGCCATGATCAAAACTAACCACCTCTAGAACCTTGCTACTCCAAGTGTGATTTGAGGAAAGCAGCATCAGCATCACCAGAGAGCTTGTTAGAAAGTCTTAGCCTCACCCGGAACAGAATCAGAATCTACATATTAACAAGATCCCCCAGGTGATTAGCGTGCATCTGAAAGTTTGGGAAGTACTGATCTAGAGGACACCAAAGGCCAGACTTGTAGAGGGCAATGGCATTTCCTTAAATTCTAAAGTACAAATTGAAGAGGTAAGTGCTTGGGCCTTTAGGGTCACTGGCATGTTGTAAGGAGATGGGACCTATTCATTTCTTCCTTACTGAAGTGTGAACTTAGGGTTTTTAATTCATTATTTTAAATTAATTACTATAGCTCTTTCAACTTGTCCAATACTGACAGTACTGTATTCTTAATCTCTGTTCTTATGTATAGGAAGTCAGCTCTTTTGGCTTTTCTGACATGGCACCTGATGGGAAACTGGGAATTACACAGAGAACCCAGCTAAAGGTGAACTAAGCTGAGTGGTAGGGAGAGTAAGTAGGAAGGGAAAATGGTGTACATATCCACTCTCTCATACATATACACAAACCAACCTCTACTTTTTAGCTAATTTATAAATGGGGGGCGGGGGCGGTATTTGTGTTTCATTTGAAGAAGGGGGAAAAGTTTGAAAACCACTGGGTCCAGCAGGAAACTATTTCTTCCTCCAAATATGTATTCTACTTTTATGGAAATGTAATTTTAAATATGTAATAAAAATGAGTAGTGTACATGGCCTTTTCCCTACTACATTTGTAGCTTCTTGAAGAATTCTTCACAGTGCCTTGCACATAATAAGTGATTGATACTCACTGAATGAATGCATATAGTGAAAAATTTTAGATCTGATTACCAGAACTGAAACAATAACTCCTTGGGGCTTGCCTTATACAATTTTTTATCCTCCTAAATGTTCATAAATCTAAGAAAGTGGCTCCCTAGTTCCAGGAGATGTCTCGTTAAGTACAGAGATGTTGATTTTCCAGTTTCTTTTTTCTTAACTCAGGGAAAAGATGAGTATTTAAAAAACAGAAACCTTGGATGAAGCATTCATCTCTTTTGGGTGCTATACAGATCAAGTTGAGCATGTTGGATTGACAAGTTTCTCCACTTCTTTCTATTCCTGTTCCTGGAAATGAAGGAGTCATGTAGAAAAGTAATATAGCAGAAACCTAGGTTTCACTGGACTTCTAGAGACTGGTAGTGTGTGTGTGGCAAGGAGATGCTGGCTAGTGGGTGACCAGTAAAGAAAAAGACCAGCAGCACACCTTCCATTTTCTTGGAGACAGCAACTCTGCCCATTCAAAGGTCAGTGTTAGGTAAAAGCTATAGTGCCTTTTTGCTGACTGTAACCTTTCCTTCTTCACAGTTGTTTATCAGCAACAGTACAGAAGGAAGTAGAGAGCTTTTAGTTCCAACACTGGAAGAAGTTTTTCAACCACAGGCTTCTTAGTAGCAAGTTAAACCACTGATATTTTAAAAAGCAGCTGAGCCTGAGTGGTAGGGAGGCTACTACTAATACCTTGGAGGCAGAATGCCACATGGGACCTTGGGACCCATTTATCATTAAATTTCTTTTGCCAAGTCCTTTTTCTTTTTTTTTTTTCAGTTGACTTCATACCTATAAAATGTGATAATCAGATACTCTGAAACAGGAAGAGGGACTAAAATTTGGCCAGGTGGCCCTAGCAGCTCCAAGAATCCAGTTTAGGGTATATAAACCTCACTTCAGGCTACTTGTCATTGCTAGGGAAAGCGTGAAGAGCCAAATTACCATTTGTCCCTAAATTCTACTCTTCCTTAAGCAGCTGGCCCTCTAATCTCAAAATCTCTTGACAGCATTAGTTTCAGGGTACAGTGGAGGGCTCCTTATTGTAGGGTAGCTACCTATTTCAGCCGACAAGGGTAAATTTCACTTTCTACTCTGCTAGCTCAAGGAACTATGCAGAACAGGCCAGAACGCTTGGTTACAATACTGGAACACTGATCCTATGTCAGATGACATTTCCACATTCAAGGGTCAGCAATGTTGGAGTTTCACTTGTCTCTACCTACTCCTGGAGAGGAATCTAGCTCTGGAGGCTAAGTCTGTATCTTAAGCATAAGCACAGTGTATCCAATAAAACATTTTTATTCTGTACAATATATATATATAATATATATATGTAATATATATATATGCAGAGAAACCTCAACCAACAAATCCCTGAGTCCATGGGAACCCAGGACACTAACAAAGGGAAAAGAGGGAGTCCATGCCCTAAACAGTAGGAAATATGGCAACAGCTCTCCCTTTCCTCCTGGTTCCCTGCAACAGAGGGAAGGGGATGGTCACTGCAAATTAGTAAAGTGAGAGGACTTTGTGGGTGTAGGAAGGGAGGGGAAAGAGTGGCAAGTCGGGGAGCTGTGGGTCAGATCCCCAGCCACTAGTCTGGGAAAGTAAAACATATGATTTGATCCAGCATTAAAACCAACAGAACACTGCAGAATAAGGGACAAAACTGACTGACATGCAGCTGACCTTTGGTATGCCGAGCCTTAGCTTGGCAGCCCCACGCTTGGGCCAGCACAACAAATAGCACCTGTGGGGCCTGTGAGAGGAGGAACTGGGGAAATGGCCCTTGAGTGAAGAAGGCGATAAAGCTGAGAAACAGGCCTCAGGCCGCAGCACAGGGTGGGAGCACTGCCATTCACTGTCCCTGTGCCATTTCTTCAGACCCTGGGCCACCAGGTGGCCAGGAGCAGATTTCTTTTGTCCAAGTCAGGTAGTGATGGGCAACTTACATGGCCTTGAGAAGAGGTATAGAAAAAGGAGTGCTTTCAAGGACCACCCCTAGTTGTGAAAATTCCTGAAGTGCAGGGACCATAACGGTGGATCACGCTCAGTCCTAAGGTGGCCACGGTCAGCTCCCTCCAGTAGACAGGCCATGGGGTTGTCAGGGTTGATGAGTCAACCAGGTGGGCTCACAGCTGCTGAGCACTGCCCTGAATGCTCCTTTCTTCTCCCTCGAACTGCCCCTCCCTTGGCCACACCAAGCTTGACACCGCTCCAGAAAGGTGGTAGGGAGCAAGTGGCAGAGAGCACCCCTTTCTCCCTAGCCTATTAACACACAAAGCCGCCAACAGAGGGCAGCATGGCCAGAAGCCACCTCGTATATTGTAGGGACGGCAATAGAACTGTCCCTGCCTGGGGGAGCTCAGAAGCCCATGTTGGCCTGGGCCTCTCCTGCTGCAATGGCTTGCACATCAGTGACATGGCCGATGCCCTTGGTGACACCCTCCCGGAACAGCAGCTTGGCGCCCACCTTCAGGTACTCTGGGTGTTTCAGGAAGCGGAAACGTACCACTGCCTTCTCCCCTGTCCGCAGCTTGTCCTGCAGCAGATATGCGGTCACTGGCCATCCCATTCTTTACCAGTCGTGGCTTTCCACCCTCAGGGGGCCTATTGGGCTTCTACCCACCCTAAGTGGGGCTGTGTTCTCTTTGTGGAATCAGGGAATTCTCTGCAAGTCTGGGGCCAGGCCTCCCAGGCAGGAAAATACTGTCTTTTCCCCAAAGAAATGGGGGCATGGCTGGGTCCCTCTCACCTTGGCATGGATCTTTTCCACCACTGCTGTCTGACGTACGTTGCCAACATGTACTGTCACCTGGAAGCCTCGCCGGAAGGTGGTGGCATGGAAGAGTAGGACTATCTCTGCCTCGAACACTGAGCAGATGGTGGGATTCATCTCGGGGCTCACCATCACCATGCCCTGCGGAGGCATGGCCCCCAAGCCCAGAAAGGACAGACATAGTGTTAGACTCTCCCTCCCCGTCCACCCCATACCCTTTTACAGCACCTGAATTTCTTCTTCCTCTAGGACTCCAAACAAGACCTCAGAAGGAAATACTCAACCTCTCCTTGTAGAGGGAATCTTTCCTTACCCACCTCCCATGTCCTCTAACCCTTCTAGTGCTTTGTATTGTTAGGGTCTTGGACACTCAAGTTGTACCACAATTCATATTTAGTTTTCTGCCACTTTGAGTATTCTCTTTTCATACACAGATAGTCTGTATAACCAGACCAAAAGCTTCTTGGGCCAGAGACCATGTTTCCTTTGAGCTTCTCTGAAGCACCTTAGGTGCTCCTCACTCAGTAGCCTACCTCCTAGGCACTTCTCTTGATGTTCCCTCTCCCATTCACCCACCCACCTCACCTTGCGAAGCAGTGCACGGTCAAAGTCCCCAAGGGCCAACGTAGCAGCCTGACCAGCTCGCAGCACACGACAGGCAGAGCGGTTGCGCTGAATGCTGCATACTCTCAGCTCCAGGAAGCAGCCATCGTCTGTGGGGCCCACCACCAGCTGGTCCCCCTCGCGGCAAATCCCACTGCAGCCCAGAGGGCAGGTGGTACAGTGTCAGCCTAGGCCCCTGTCTACTTCCCTGCTCAGGGTCACCCAGAGCATTCCTTTCTTTCTATGGTTGATCCCTAAGGTTGGGGAAGGGATCCTAAATTCAGACTTGGAGGTCGGGGGGTGACTGCTAT